ATATAATAAGTCTATTTAGTAATCTTTAGCTACTAGGTATAGCTACTTAGTATTAATAAAGATAAAGATAAAGGCTTTATTAACTTTATTATAAATTAGATAGAGGTATTAAAAGACCTTATAAGTTACTTAAAATAGGGCTAATACTTATTAAGGTAATAGTAAGCCTTTATTATAGGTATTAGATTAAGTAATAGTAATAAGCTATACTAGCAGTAGTTTATAGAGTTAAAATGTGTAGTTATAGTGCTTAAATTAATAGTATAAATATTATATTACAGAAATTAAGGGTAATTATAGTATAAAGGAGGGAAAGTAAGAGAAAGTAAGAGGAAAAAGAGAGAGAAAAAGGCAAATTAAGAAATAAAGGTTTTAGTATTAGGGGAAAAACTATAAATATTAGCAGACTAAAGCTAGCTATATAAGTTAGTAATAAATTAAATTAGGCCTTAAGGTAATATAGTATAAAAAATACAAGTTAAGGAATAATATAAATATTTAATACTTAGATAAAAATAATATAATAATTAATATATAAGTAAAAAATACTATTTAGTTTATATTTTTAAAATAAAATATAAAATTAAATAAATACTAAAGAGAATAAAGTTATATCCCTGTAAGTAGGTACCCTGCTAACGAAAAAACAGGAGTTAGAGTGTATGCTTCACCCTATCATCGGGTATTCAACAAAGTAAATATTATTATCTTGGCTCAACCGTTGTGGCATGGTCGAGAACTTTGAACCCCCTGCGGAAACATCATATTTCTTAATTTTCTGATCTGCAGGTTACCCGTTTTCGTACGCTCGATCTCAACTTCTCAACAGTCCAGTAACTTTGCAGTGTTTCCGGAATCCGCATATGTCAATTCGTTGTTGCGCATTCAACCTACTTCCGTGTGCTTGTCGAATTGAATATATTGATATGCTTACCCTGTGGTAGTGTGTAATGCTAGACTCGTGTCAGGCATCTGCAATGGTTTCGCACAATATTCAAGTATGTATTCGTACTATCTAGTTATTCGTTATAAGAGATCTAAGGCAAGTGATATAACCGTCCACAGTATTTACCATGTAAATTAATCATCGACTGCTCAGTCGCTATGCTTTGGCAACATTCAGTACGTTGTTGAATAGATGTAGTACGGTAATGACTCGTGTTGCTCCGGCGCCGCACAGTATTCGAGAACTTAGACATTTCGTAACCCCTTGCATTGCTGGTCGAGACTCTTCAGGGTAGCAGTCGTTGGGATCTTAGCATCCAGGCCACGAGCTTCATTATGTTTCTCTTACCACTGAATCAGAACTAGCCGATGTCTCGGAAAAGCAACCGAGGATGGGGACCACAAGCCGCTCGATGTTGAGGGTACTGGGGATTGTGCTAGGCTAATTGAATGCAGTTGATAGCGAAAGCATTGATAGGTAGTGATCTACCGGAAGATCTCCAGTGACAGTTCTCCGTTAAGATGCACGAGCCCATATCCGATATAGAGAGATCTGGCAACGAATATCCAACGACTCGGACGCAACAAATGCGAACAGCTTGAACAAGCTCGATAGCTGCGTGCCTCAACCGTAGGGCTGGGGAGCCCGAAGTTTCAATCAACTGCCAGCTGACGTGAGGACCAAGGATTCCGCGCCATTGCAATTGAACGTTGGCTCGGCTGGAAACAGCTGAGCTTCAAAGCCCGCTACTTGGTGGCCTTGTCTGTAAATTCAACACAGCAAGATACAGTCAGAATGGCGGGCCACAAATCTCACCTTTCACTCGTCCGAGATTGGATAGAATTCAGAACGGAGAGGGACAGGTAATCAACGGACAAGACCGCAAAATACTATGTACGTACCCTGCCTGCGCCCCAGCATCATCAATGTCTCTAACCAGCCAGGCTGAGCAAGCCCAGCCAGTTGTCGGCTCGTTCCAGCTAATTTCAAGCTGCTAAGACAGGAATGGCTATTTTTAGAACATGCGCTTTGTTGTGGCAGATTCTTTGTCGTGTTTCGGACAAAAGACTAACCCAGTCAAGCGTTTTAGCCAAGTAACCTCAAGACAAGGGAGGAATCGCCTGAAAGTCACCATTTGTGATCTTGCCAGAGATAGAGAGGGGAAGTAACACAAACATATGCTTCGTTTTGAGTAATGGTGTCCGATTTGTTTGTTCTTAGTTGGCGGTCAGCAACCAAGCACCGAAGCAGCAATTCGGGACATGGTTAAATCTGACTGCTGACGGATTCTGGCGAACTAGCTACCATGGCCCAAGGTGAGCAGGCTTGCAGTAGGCTCAGCGGCTGATGTCAAAGGGAAAGGATCGTAAGCCAACAGGGCTGGGTGCGGGTACTCCCAAACGAAAGGTGATGGCTGACTGGCCGACCAATTCCTGAGGCAGCCAGACTGCAAAGCCCGTGCCTTCCATTTGGAGGGAAATTAGGGACCATTGCCCGTACCGGACAACGATGCGCAGGGCATGTGGCGGGAGAAAGGGGATGGCGATCTTCCGGCAAGCTGGCGGTTGAAGGAAAAGGGGAGCCAAATGGTAGGTATTTATGTAGCTTGGCTTCTGGAACTTTGCGTTGGCCCCCCACAGAAGCTGCTAAACCACACGCTGAAACAGCAGAGTACTGCAGAGGACTGTGCAACACAGTTAGCAACCACTGAGCAAACGGTAAGCGCCAGGCCCGAGCAGCAATGCAGGTGCAAACCCGACAATTCTCAGCTTAGGCATCGGGCATCTCCTGTCAGTAGCATGCCCCGTTGTCTTTGGATGGACAACAATGCAAAGTGCCAGGGTCCCGTAGTTATCTCCATAATCTGTGGCACTCTAGTTCCTCATTTCAAGGAACTTGGTTCCAGTGAACTGTAAGACGGGTTGGGGAAAAAAAAAGAGGTCGATTGAACGGTGAGCAGGCGAATGCAGATATTGCGGTGGCTGAAGTCTTCGTTATGAGATTTGAATGAAGAGCCAGCCGTCTTCTCCGCCCTGAAATGCTAGCTGGCTTTGGGATATAGGTATGCTGACGAGACGATCTAGCGGTGCTGTACGTACGTTGGCAGCCAGTTACACGTCTATTCGTACAGTGTAGATTGTAGATCTCTCGATACCTTAGTTCACAGCCGCAAGCCTCTTGAGTCTATTCTGCCCGTGAGAGATTCTTCAACGTGCAGAAAGCCAGTAAAGCGTGGCGGCATGCCCATCTCAACGCTCGGCGAGATCAAAGGATATCTGCGCGTTAGTCGTCAACGACTGTGAATCGCCATCAGGGAACTAACTCACCAGCCCAAAATGCACTGCAGTCAGATTCTCGTTTCTGAGAGGGCGGGTATCTGATTCTTGACAGGGATGGCAGCTGGAGATGGGATGGATCCTCGCCCCTCAAGTACCAACTTATGGCGGAGTGGAGTGGCTCAGCAGGCTTAGCGCGAGATGAGTCCCCTATTCTTACCTCTCTTTCTCAAGCTGTGAGCCCGTCGTGGAGCAAAACGAGATTCGTTCCCAGGGCCTTTCATCAAAACATTTTCTCAGAGGAGAGGAGAAAAATAAACCCTGTCACTAGCCTTCTTCTTTGCCTTCATTATCCCTCTTCCCTCCTATCCTCAACTTCATCCTCCTTATCCTTCCCCCGCCGCTCCAACTATCACCATTCTTTTGAGGCTGGCGCCTCAAGTTTCCTACTGTATCTGTTGACTGTTGCTGGGGCCAAGGTACCTACTAGAGCTACCTACCTACCTTACTAAACTGCCACTGCTATTCAATAGGTGGCTGCCCGTGACCACCATTCGCATTTCCTTCCTCCTGTTTCAGCTCCTATCTCGACTAGAGAAAAACTCACAACACCATATTCACTTCGCACCGCTATCGCTATCGCGCATCATTTTATCCGAAGCTCATCGACTAGAATCCCAACAGTGCTGAGCGCCTACGGGAGCATAACTATTCACCATGGCGTACAACGGCCGTGATCAGGAGTATGGAGGACATGCTTTGCAGGACCTTCCTGCTGGCGGAAGCGTGAGTGCACATTCTTTGTCTGTAGCTTAAATGCTGAGCGACAAGGACTAATTCTTCTCCAGCAGTACCACCTCCCCCCCCAAGAGAATGACGAGGAGCAGGGCCGCGGTCTATTGAACTCAGGTTACGACCAAGATCGACTTGGCGCCCGCACTCCCCCCGACCGCCCCGTCTCTGCTTACAGTCTCACTGAGTCCTACGCCCCTGGGGCCTCGTCAACCATGCCTGGCCAGGGACCTACTGGATATGGTGATGGAAGCAGCTTTGGTCAATTTGGTAATCTTGACGCTGCCGCCCCTTTCCCTCGCCCCGACTCTGCCTTCGACCCCGAAGACAGCTGGGTTGAGCGACAGCAGCAGCCTCAGATGGGCGGTGGTCTTGGCCGCTCGAAAACCCGAAAGATCAAACTGGTTCAGGGTTCAGTCCTGAGCATTGATTACCCTGTTCCCAGTGCGATCAAGAATGCTGTCCAGCCCCAGTATCGTGACGCTGAGAGTGGTACCGAAGAGTTCCATAAGATGCGATATACTGCTGCTACCTGTGATCCTAACGACTTCACTCTCAAGAACGGTTACGATTTGCGACCTCGCATGTACAACCGACACACTGAGTTGCTGATCGCCATTACATACTATAACGAAGACAAGGTTCTTCTCGCACGAACGCTGCATCACACCATGCAGAACATCCGCGACATTGTCAACCTGAAGAAGTCGACCTTCTGGAACAAGGGTGGTCCAGCTTGGCAGAAGATCGTTGTATGCTTGGTTTTCGATGGTATCGACAAGGCTGACAAGAATACACTGGATGTCCTTGCCACTGTCGGCGTGTACCAAGACGGTGTTATCAAGAAGGATGTCGACGGCAAGGAGACTGTTGCTCACATCTTCGAATACACCAGCCAGCTTTCCGTCACGCCCAACCAGCAGCTTATTCGACCTACAAACGAGGGCACACAGAACTTGCCACCAGTTCAGATGATCTTCTGTTTGAAGCAAAAGAACACCAAGAAGATTAACTCGCATCGATGGCTGTTCAATGCCTTCGGCCGTATCTTGAATCCTGAGGTGTGTATCCTGCTCGATGCAGGTACTAAGCCCAGTCCCCGATCTCTCCTTGCTCTTTGGGAGGGATTTTACAATGATAAGGACCTGGGAGGCGCTTGTGGTGAGATCCATGCTATGCTTGGCAAGGGTGGAAAGAAGCTGTTCAACCCCCTCGTTGCCGTCCAGAACTTCGAGTACAAGATCTCAAACATTCTGGACAAGCCTCTCGAGTCTTCTTTTGGTTATGTCTCTGTCCTGCCTGGTGCTTTCTCAGCCTACAGATTCCGAGCCATCATGGGCCGCCCGCTGGAACAGTATTTCCATGGTGATCATACCTTGTCTAAGATGCTTGGTAAGAAGGGTATCGATGGTATGAACATTTTCAAGAAGAACATGTTCTTGGCCGAGGATCGTATTCTCTGTTTTGAGCTGGTCGCCAAGGCTGGCCAGAAGTGGCACTTGTCCTATATCAAGGCTGCCAAGGGCGAAACCGATGTGCCTGAGGGTGCAGCTGAATTCATTAGTCAACGTCGACGATGGCTCAACGGTTCATTCGCTGCCACACTATACTCACTGATGCATTTCGGACGAATGTACAAGTCGGGTCATAACATCATCCGCATGTTCTTCCTCCACATTCAACTCATCTACACCACTCTCAACACTCTCTTCGCATGGTTCTCTCTTGGCTCTTACTGGCTTACAACATCCGTCATCATGGATCTTGTCGGTACTCCTAAGCCTGCATCCGGTTATCACGCCTGGCCATTCGGCGACACGGGTACACCTGTCGTCAATGCCCTGCTTCAGTACCTCTACTTAGCCTTCGTCATGCTTCAGTTCATTCTGGCTCTTGGTAACAGGCCCAAGGGCTCCAAGTTCACATACATCGCTTCCTTCATGGTCTTCAGTCTCATTCAAGGTTACATCCTGGTTCTCTCAGCCTATCTGGTTATTCGTGCTTTTGACACGCCCATTGGAGACCAGATCTCGTTCGCCTCGACCGACGCTTTCCTTGACAGTTTCTTTGGCGGTTCAAGCGCTGGAGGTGTTATTTTGGTCGCCCTTATCACCATCTATGGACTCAATTTTGTTGCCTCGTTCATGTACCTCGATCCCTGGCACATGTTCCACTCCTTCCCCTACTATCTGCTTCTCATGTCGACTTACATTAACATTCTCATGGTTTATGCCTTCAACAACTGGCACGATGTCTCTTGGGGTACCAAGGGTTCAGACAAGGCTGAGGCACTTCCCTCTGCCCACGTCACCAAGGGCGAGAAGAACGAGGTTGTTGTCGAGGAAGTTGAGAAGGAGCAGGAGGATATTGACAGTCAATTCGAGCAGACTGTCCGCCGAGCTCTTGCTCCCTTCAAGGAGGAGGAGGAGGTTGAGAAGGCCGATGTTGAGGATGGTTACAAGTCTTTCCGAACAGGACTCGTCGTCAGCTGGTTGTTCGGAAACATTCTCCTTATTGTCTGCATTACCAGCGACAAGTTTGATAATCTCGGATGGGGTGTAAGTTTTCCTGAGACTATGCGATATGTGGTCTGTACTAACAATTTAATAGGAACCTGCCACAGATCGCAAGGCGCATTACTTTCAGTTCCTTCTGTACGCTACTGCCGTGCTCTCGCTCGTTCGTTTTTTCGGTTTCTTGTGGTTCCTGGGCAGGACTGGTATCATGTGCTGTTTTTCGAGACGATAAACCTCGTGCGTACCTACGCTCGTTGTATTCGACACTCACACTTTTCTGGAGAAGCCAGATACGGGAATGTACTGGCACTTGTCATAGTAGACAAACTGGATTTTTGTACCGGATACCTTTGTTATGTAACGTACGCTGGGTTTTGACTATTTGAGTTGATGGAGGGACATCCACAAAAGAGGACGTTGGAAGTGAAGGTATTCAGACCAGACCTGAGTACGAGCAAATGCATCTCTATTTAGTCTTTTTCAGATTGGCATCTGCCCCTGAGGGTTTATGACGCATTTGAATGATATGATATTTTTTTTTTGATAGTTAATATTGCCTGATTGCCTGATTGCCTGTGTTTTCTTCCATCATTGGCTAACTCCTAGGTTACTCACTCACACGACGTATCATGCGTCATTTCAATGGTCCCTTGTCGCCTAAACTTCGGTTTGAAGGATTGGGCTTGTGGCTGGCTGCCTTACGCCGCGTTATCTTATCAAGCATCATCACCTTTTCCACAAAGCACGACTAGACCCTTCTCGCAACTGAGTTCAGCGCATTCACAACCAACACTGCTGCTTGCCCTACATTATCCTATAACTTGCAACTTTCGTCGTGCCTGGGCTCTCTCACTTCAATTTTTGTGATCTCATCAAGGGTCTTTCCACAGCGCATAACGACAGCCCAATCCTGGGCCCCCCACATCCACGATGTTGAAGATATGGTCGATGGTGAGTTATCTACCGACCGCCACCAGCCAGTTTGGCGCTGACAGTGGTATAGAAAAAGGAGCAGAAGGAGGCAGAGAACGCCGAGGGCCAGGCGACGGGTGGCAAGAAGAAGAAGGTGACTGCAGCTCAGCTGCGCGTGCAAAAAGGTATGCTTCATCCTGTCCAGATCTTGACGTGTAGTGGTGTGTTTGGGATGAAGAGGTTAACGCATGCCGCAACAGATCTTTCAGAACTTTCCCTCGGATCAACGATGAAGACAGAGTTCCCCGACCCCGATGACATCCTTAACTTCGTACTCACGATCGACCCTGATGAGGGCATGTACCGAGGCAGCCGCTTTACCTTCGATTTCACCATAAACCAGAACTTTCCCCACGAGCCCCCCAAGGTCCGGTGCCGAGAAAAGATCTACCATCCCAATATCGATCTTGAGGGAAAGGTCTGCCTGAACATTCTACGAGAGGATTGGAAGCCAGTGTTGAACTTGAATGCTGTGATTGTTGGCCTGCAGGTACGGAGTCTGGAAAGAAAAGCGTCTCGAGTTACTCAGACGCGAAACATGAAGGACATGATTGTGGATTAGTAACTAATATGTTTGCAGTTTCTGTTCCTCGAACCCAACGCATCGGACCCGCTCAACAAGGAGGCAGCTGAAGATCTACGAAACAACCGAGAGGGATTCAAGCGCAACGTGAGGACTGCTATGGGTGGTGGAGTAGTCAAGGGCAGGACATACGACAGGGTCCTGAAATAGATTTGTAATAAGACAAATAAACAGGAGTCCCAGGGATGGAAAACCAGAAGGGACGGGCCGTTAAGATTTTGGGACGATACAACGACTTAATGGGTGTCTGAGACAGACAAGCATTTGATAACAAACAGCATCGCGTGGCGTCTGATAAATCCATGATCTTGATTAGGCAATCCTTCAGCTTCTAAACTTCCTGTGTTTGTTGATACTCAATGGCGAGACCTGGGAGGCGGGGTAGAGTCGACCTGAGCTGAGCTTGCGATGCCTGCTCAGGTACAGACGATCCCAAGCTCACTTTAACCACCTAGCCTGCATTGCCTGCCCTTTTTGAGTCAGAGGGGGTCTTTGGAGGGGCTTTTCTCGCAGTTCAATTGTACTCTATTGGCTGGCGATATGTTGCTGCCCTGGCTGCCGACATAAGATCAACGGCTCAACATGAGCATGGCATGGCGTGGCGTGCCTGGCTAGGGGAGGAAAGAAAATACAGGACCTTGACCCTAAGCGATAAAAATATTTAGGTAAATCTAGCCTAAGTTTAGGGCTCTTTTCTAAGTTATTTTAACACCCTATATCAAGGTTCGGTATTTTCTTGCTCCTCGAGGCCTGGTTTGCTTTATGGTCTCGTCTACGCACGTGGAGTATAGACTAAGGTACCTATAACGTGGAGTCTAGAAATCCGATTTGAGCCTCATCCAGGTGCTAAGAGTCCGCAACCCGGAGTAAGTGGAGTTTTAAGGAGTCAACATCGAGCCAGATCTAGACTATCTTGTCTGACATATCGACCGGAGGAAGTGATATGCCCCCGATATGTAGCTCAAGGACCCCGAGCGCGGTGCAGCTGCCGTTGCCGCTCATAGATATGGAGTCGTGATGCTGAGTTCGGCAGGGCCCTATTGGACAAGACGCCTGAATCGGCTGTGGGTTGTTCGTCGGACGATATGCGGCTTATGAGCTCGGGGGAACTAGCAGAACTCCGAAAGCAAGAGGGCCCATTTCTTTTGAGGGTTACCCCGTCAGAGCATTAGCTCCAAGTTAGGATAGCTTTGAGATGGTGTGGGCGAGAAGCGAGTGTTCAAGTTTGCCACGCAATTGATGTCAATTAGGGCTATGATTTTGAGTAGATCTTTGACGAATTGGACAGTGAGAAGAGTAGCGAGATTTTTATAGTGTATTATTACTGCCTATAGCTTTGTCTGGCGCCGCCTTCTTCTGGCGGTCAGATCTATATGCAACGACATCTAAAAACGCACACGGAGAGCTTTGGTGGTTGGACAATATTAAGTCACCGCTAATTGGCCGAAACTTACGTGACTCAAGGTGAGAGAGAGTTCTCCAGGTCTAGGCATTGTCCACAGTACACATTTCCCCTCACTCCGATACGCTCTTAGCCAAGTCGCCTCTACCCACATAGCCCCAGACACATCCCCGCTGCTCAGCGTAGGGCCCCCACCTCACAGTACAAGCCGAAATCGGTCCCCCCTCCAAGCGATGTCCGTTGGAGAGAAAATTAGGGACAGCTTAAACCTAAGTACTTAACCTTTACTCTCGCCATTGCCTTTCTCCCTTTTTCTTCCTCCTCATCTTCTCTCAGACACTCTCCCCTCAGTTCCCAAACTGTCCCCTCACATCCTCACAATGGCTTCTCGCAACTTCACAAAGGCTCTCCGTGGCCCTGCCCGCCAACTGGCTTCTGCTCCCCGCGTTCAGCAGCGAACTTTCGTTGCTGCTGCTCGCTCCGCTGCTCGTGTTGGTGCCGTTGCCCGACCCGTTGCCGCTGGCCCCGTCCAGCAGCAGGTCCGTGGTGTCAAGACCATTGACTTTGCTGGTCACAAGGAGGACGTCTATGGTGAGTTATATCTCCAATTGCGGCTGCTGTATAAATTGGACACCCAATGCTGACAAGTATTTTATAGAGCGTGCCGATTGGCCCCAAGAGAAGCTTCTTGAGTACTTCAAGAACGACACTCTGGCCCTCATTGGCTACGGCTCTCAGGGCCACGGCCAGGGCCTTAACCTCCGTGACAACGGCCTCAACGTCATCGTTGGTGTCCGAAAGAACGGAAAGTCCTGGAAGGATGCTGAGCAGGATGGCTGGGTTGCTGGCAAGAACCTGTTCGACGTTGACGAGGCCATCTCTCGTGGTACCATCGTTATGAACCTTCTCTCCGATGCTGCCCAGTCTGAGACTTGGCCCGCCATCAAGCCCCAGCTCGTTGAGGGCAAGGTAAGCAGAATTACCCACCTACTGTCAGTCTAGGCACAGCTCTAACATAAATCTTGCAGACCCTTTACTTCTCCCACGGGTTCTCCCCTGTCTTCAAGGACCTCACCAAGGTTGAGGTTCCCTCCAACATCGACGTCATCCTCTGCGCTCCCAAGGGCTCTGGCCGAACCGTCCGATCTCTCTTCCGTGAGGGCCGTGGTATCAACTCCTCTTTCGCCGTCTACCAGGATGTCACTGGCAAGGCCGAGGAGAAGGCTGTCGCCCTTGGTGTCGCCATCGGCTCTGGCTACCTCTACAAGACTACCTTCGAGAAGGAGGTTTACTCCGATCTCTACGGTGAGCGTGGTTGCCTCATGGGTGGTATCCACGGCATGTTCCTCGCTCAGTACGAGGTCCTCCGCGAGCGCGGCCATAGCCCCAGCGAGGCCTTCAACGAGACTGTTGAGGAGGCTACACAGTCTCTCTACCCTCTTATCGGTGCCAACGGCATGGATTGGATGTACGAGGCTTGCTCCACCACTGCCCGTCGTGGTGCCATCGACTGGAGCCCCAAGTTCAAGGACGCCCTGAAGCCCGTCTTCAACTCCCTCTACGACGCTGTCAAGGATGGTTCTGAGACCAAGCGATCTCTCGAGTACAACAGCCAGCCTGACTACCGTGAGAAGTACGAGGCAGAGATGAAGGAGATCCGTGATCTCGAGATCTGGCGCGCCGGCAAGGCCGTCCGATCTCTCCGACCCGAGAACCAGAAGTAAGCGGCTATTAATGTTGAATGATAAGATAATTTGTGAGTGGGAGATGGACATGGGATGGGATGTCTAGGAAACGGCTTTTATGAACCACATGAACTTTCTGTCTGTACTTTTAAAAAATTTCCTGGGCTCTGGAGGGGGATCTGAAATTGGTCCAAAAGTTGATATCAGGCTTGAAGCCAAAACGAATACCATTTTTATTTTACGTTAAACAAACAAACCGTGTCGCTTCAATCCGCTGGTGATGTTTAATTCTTTGACATTCGAATATGATCCATTGGGATTTTGCTGACTTTCCCGCGCCTTAAATATGACAAGCAACGTCTAGCGTCAGCTTGGCGACGAGATTGTAACGTTATTCAGTTGCTAAAACAGGCAGCTGGGAGTAGTAGCCGACAACCGGAGCATGACTAGAGGGTTGGTGATACTTAAGATCCTCGACTACGCAGCATAGATAGGGCCACAGCTTGTCCATCTCGTAGACTTATACCTTGAACCCAACCATTCTAACTTACCATTATCACAATCAATATGGCTGATCTTTCAACAACTCCTCCGTTGACTCGTGAGTCAGTCATCGAAGCTCACAAACTCATCAGCCCATATGTCCACTTCACACCCGTCCTGACCAACCAGACCATCACGAAACTAGCTTCAACCCCTCGCACAGCGGAGGAGCTCCAAGGGACTCGTTATGCTGGTAGAACGCCGGCCCGGCCAGTGCTAAGACTCTGGTTCAAATGCGAGAATTTGCAACGCATTGGTGCTTTCAAAGCGAGAGGTGCTTTTCATGCCATCGAGAGGCTGAAGAAAGAACCAGGATGGCTAGAGGGAGGGGGCATGGAGAAAGGAGTCGTGACACACAGTTCCGGTAACACGTCACATACATGCTTTATCCGACGATGATGGCTAATCGTTACAGGAAACCATGCTCAAGCACTAGCTCTTGCGGCTCGAGAGAGTGGTATCAAAGCCCACATTGTCATGCCTGAGATTTCCAACCCCAAGAAGATCGCTGGAACAAAAGGCTACGGCGCTCGCGTTATCTTTAGCGGAAGCACATCCACTGAACGCGAAGCAATGGCTGCACAAGTCATCGCTGAGACAGGTGCTCGACTTGTGCCCCCCTATGACCACCCGGATATTCTCCTTGGACAAGGCACCATGGGGCTAGAATTCCAACAGCAAGTTTCCGAATTGATGACTGCTGATGCCGTCGTCGACGGGCAGAGGAGGTTTTTCCGGGCACCGGTCACAGGGCGGGACAACGAGGCGCCGAGGACCAAGAAGGAGAAACCTGGCCTGGATGCTATCATGACCCCTTGCGGTGGCGGTGGTATGCTCTCAGGTGTTGCTCTGAGCTGCGAAGGCACTGGGATCCGCGTATTTGGCTCGGAGCCATCGTTCGAGGGCGCTGATGATGCAAAGCGTGGATTCGAGTCGGGCACACGAATCACAACAGTCAAGACTCTTACAGTTGCCGACGGACTACGTACTCCCGTGGGTGAGCACCCTTGGTCAGTCATATATGACCGCCGCTTGGTATCGGGCATGTACAGCGTCACTGAGGAAGAGATCCTGGCGGCTATGAAGCTGGTGTTTGAGCGGTTCAAACTGGTTGTCGAGCCCAGTGCTTGCGTCCCGCTGGCAGTGGCACTGTTTGATGAGGAATTCAGATCAATGGTAGAGCGAGAAGCTGGAGAAGAGGGCTGGGACCTCGGACTGGTGTTCAGTGGTGGTAACATTGGTCTTGATGCTGTTGGCAAGCTCTTCGAAGGTAGCAAGTAAAATTTCATGTTGATAGACCAAGATAGAGATGCAGTCCGGACCATAAACTGCGATAGTTTTCATTCTAATTTGCTTGATCGTATATGAAATGCATAGTTCCATATATCTAACTTATCGTGGCTGCATTGCTTTTTACCCCTTGGCCGCGATCTTCACTGAGCCAGTGCTTCATCCATCGTTTTCCTCCACTTCGTGGCGTTCCTCCTCAGCAGGATGATACTAACATAACTAATAATGAG